AGTATTATAAATTATAAATTATTATATTTTCTACTTTTTAGTGCATTATTACATAAAAGCTTATTATTAAAACGTTTTTTATGAATTTTTTTAGGCTATCTCTAATCCTAAAGACCATGGACCAAAACTAGTTTAAAAATATTCAATAAAACAATTTCGAAATGGTATTATCACTATCGTTGAGCAATCTTTACTCCGAGTTATTTATTTAAAATATAACATCAACCCTAACTCTTTGAACCCCAAGTATCCCTTTTTACTCTAACCCCACTTTACTAACTCTAAACCTCTTGATACGAACTCTAAACCAAGACTTACATGCAAGAACTGATTGGAAAGAAAGACTCACATTTCAAGTCTGGCTATGAAGTTGGGATGCGCATTGTACAATTGTTGTGGGATTTCTGCCAGCTCTCTGGTTCTCATGTTATACAGCAGGGGTACATCAACAGGAACTTGACGACTTCGCCTTGCCAAACCAGTACATTGTGACCTCTGTAATCTGCAAGGTGTAATCAGTCTTAATGACTTGTTATCATTTGTGAGTCGACTGTTACATTGGTACACAAAATCATTTGTACACAAATGAACAATCCACGACGCGCATGCCACACCCACTCTTCACTCACTCTCACATCTCAGCCCCCAACTCCCTCCCATTTCCATTGCGTCATACATTTGTGAGATCCGGAGTCCTAAAGAAAAAATGTTTCTGGACGTTGGTGGTAGATGAGGTTGCCCACGATTACAAGTAAAAACTCAAATATATATTGTATTCAAGAAAACGCCGTACACAAACGGATTTACTGACAAATAATTCAGTTCAATCCCCCGTTGTTTATTGGTATTTTTGTTTTGTTTTGTTTTTCCCTTTGTTTACTAAAATAAAATCCCTAGGTTGTCCGCGCCATCAGCAATGAATAGCATAAATAATACATTAATTTTTTCACATTCTCCAACTGGACAATGCATTTTCCCCCGCGAATCCTGTGGCTATTGTTTTCATTAACGAACATCTCAAAAATCGCTGCTATTATTTTTAGAAAGGAACATCGCAATGAATATCTTGTTATATTTGTCTTGATTGTTTAAATTAAAAACAAAACAACAAACCAAAGAGAAAAAAAATTACGAGACATACAAATGTAATTCAGTAATGTATATTCCACCCCCCCCCCCCTTCCACCCTCTTTTTTGGTACTTAACGACTGATAGAATTAGCACTGATAGACTATGCTACCATTTTGTAAACACTTATTCAACATATTATTGACACAGGAGATATGTTGACCACGTATTTTGACACGTCTCAACGTTTTATTTAAATAAGAAAAAGCCCCAAGCGTCAACTTTTGCTTTTCACTCTATTCAAATATTCGCCTGAAAGCAAAAACTAAAAGCTTCCTACCATCCCACCCTTTGAAACTGACCTTCTAATTACTATTGGACAGAAGAAATCTTTGGCTCTAGGCATGATAAGGAGAAAAGTTGTTGTGTTATGATGGATCGTTGACAGGTCAGACGGGGAAACTAATCCATTACAGTGGTGACATGTGAGGAGCAACCAGCCCTAACCCAAGTCTTAACACTAGCCCTAGGTCTCGCTAACTAAAACAGCCTTAGCCATAACCCTAACACGCTATCTAAACACGTAATGCAACAAACTATCCGTAGATCGACAAGCTGATTGAGGGCCATAACAAGACAAATTATGTTTTATTTAAACTTGATCTGATGTAAGATAAAACAGGAGGTCTATTCGCTTTCTTACATTTATTGAAGGCAGCCTTAAACACAGTAGTTAAATGGTGTCTATATTTTTAGGAGACTGCCTCAGGGATCTATATAATATACAATTCTCTTCGTGGAGACCATAGAAAACACCACGCAGCTTAGCCACCACCCTCATCCCCACCTGTCTGGTGAGCTGTGGTTCACCCAGAATGTTTACAATCATATAGCCGGGTTAGGGGCAGATAATTTAGTATTAAACAATTTTAAGCGAAAGGGAGGTAACAATTTCTGATTGATCTTTTCATTGTCTGTAAACGGCTGCTTTCACTGGGCGGGGTGGGGTAAGGTGGGGGTGGGGCAGGGTGTGGGGTAGTGTCGAATTCACAAATTATGATTTGTTGATAAGTAGAAAATAAAACAACTAGACAGTTGCGTATGCTACGTCGCGGGTCAGCTCGTAGTAGTTTAATGGTGTCTAGATTTGACTGTCTCGAATATAGTAGTTTAATGGTGTCTAGATTTGACTGTCTCAAGGAGAGCTTAACAAAGTCTTTCGTCAATCAGCTATTACATTTCATTCAAACCTAAGACTGAGCAGGAGAGGGGGGGGGAAGGAGAAAAGAGAGTTTAAATGAGAGGAAAAGTTACAGAGAGTTAATGAGTAACCCTAACCCTAACCTTAACCTTACCTCACTATCAATACACAGCTATATCAACAGACATTTATTTATATCAAATTCTATTTAAAATTCTACAACATTTGTTC